AATGTTAAAATAGAGCACTTTGTAATAGACCTATTTGGTTTTGTGGACCTACTAGGTGGAGTGCTTTGCGTACTTGGCGATTTCATCCATTGTGATGAGGGAATTGAGTGCGGCGAGAATACGATAGATTCGGGAGAACTATCTGACAATGGTGCCGGTAATCTAAAATAAGAGAGATAGGAAAAAAATGCAGTTTGGTAAAGGAAGAATGAAAACATTGAAGACCAGAAATTGTTGTAAGATCTTCCAAATTTTGGGTATAAAATAAAGGTAGAGAAGCTTGATCATTTACCACCCTGCACAGCTAAGTTATTTTAGAAACGAAAATTTTCTTTATTCATTTTCAGGACATTTATAGAAGCCAAAAGGCTTGAATAATAAGTTTTCTAAAGACAGTGTACATGTCTCTCAAGAAGAGGCGTTGAGTTCTGGCTCTATTATCTTGCACACACTTGTCCCTTCAACATATAAAATCGGGCTTTCTTCATTGAAACAATGTGATTCTTGACAAATAGAACTGTCCAGATAGCAAAATTCGAATGCTTTTTGCTTGTTACTTTCTTACAATGTACCGCTTAGACTTTTCAAAAATAGTCAAGTGGTAAGAGATTAACTCATTACTAAAATAAAGCTGATGTTCAAAAATCAGATATCTGTGCTACTATCTTGAATAGAATGGACTAGAAAAAAATAACACTCTCACAAATAGTCGAGTTGAAAGTTCCGCTCCCGCCTTCCCCTAATCCCTACAATAAGTGTAAGGATCTATAATACGACAAGCTCATGGAATCAACAAACCTGGGCTGACCAAAGAAGAGCATTGCCGTCTCGAAAGGATGTGAGAGCCTCACAGGATAGGGTGTCATCGGGGCGACTGTAGCTGCAGAGGCTGGTGTCATTGGAAGAGGCTTGAGTATATCATCTTTTCGTTCCAATATACTTTCAACACTAAATGGTGACGGCCGTTTTTCTCCTTCGATGGATACCATCCTAAAGTAGGCAGTTGAAGGGTAGAGGATAAGATGTATTGGGTACTAGAAGTAGAATTTGCGAATAGAGGAAAACGTCATAAAGCAGGACTGGAAAATAGGAAACTGCTCAAATTTCTACCGTATCCCAAAGGCATTTGATCTGCTAATTAATAGGCAAAGGGCCCCGAAGAGAGGAGGAGGCGCGCATTGGGCAATGTGCAATCTGAGAAAATCAGCGCGTAAATTGCATGGCAAACAATGGTTACGGTGATGCGCCAGCTGCCTATCAGCATCTAACCAATTAAGCGCGTTGAGAATGAATTCCTAGTCTGCTCTAATATTGTCTCATTTCATCATTTCCTCAACTAGGCCCGAAAGCAACGCATCTTACAATGGGAATGTGTAGAAGAGGATTAGGAAACTTCACAACAATAGGTTATTTAGCTGTGAATTCACTGTTTTTTCGGATAGGTATGGACCATTCATGAAATAGTGGTCAGCATATTTAAAAGTCATATCGCAGCTTCAAGAATGGACAAATAAGGCAAACAAACTGAATAGAATTTGTGAGTTTCGACTGAGAAGAGGCCATTTGTCAACATAGCATACGGTGGAAGTAATAATATTTTCAGGACAATTACTGATAATTAAAGGCGACGCGAAGCCCAGTTGACCATTCCATCAGTGGTAATGAGTGTTCGAATTGCTTCAGAATGACTACCCATTTCGGAGAGCATCGTCGTCGCTCACGTCAGTATGAAACCTCGCATCGATTGCGTAATCAGCGAAGATCGAGCGACATATACATCAATGAAGCGAATAGAAAAATTTCAAGGATTTCAAGGATTTCAGCTGACATACAGGCAGGACATCAAAGCGCGATCCTTGAGACACCTTTGTATATAATGTTGTTGAATGGCGTCGCAGTTGTGATAACTAAGAGAGGCCCTGCCCCGCCCCTGACGCGGCTATTGCTCCGTCAAGCTGCTCGTAATTACTGCTTGCTCTTATTGCACACATACCGTAATTCTTTAGCGCTCATTGTGACACTTACGCATGGAAAAATTTGCAGTATTTGAAAGAAATTCGCAAACATTGGGATGATAGCGACGTTTATGCACAAAA